CGGCCCCTCTCCACAGCCATTCACCGGTTTGCGACAGCTGGATATCGGGAAACGGGCCCTGCTTTACGGCCGCGGCGCCGCCTTCTGGCTTCTGGAAGGGGTCGGCAAGAGGTGGCCGCCATCTTGTTGTACGGACAGGAGTTAGCCGGGAGCGCTCGCAGCGGGTGGGGCTTGCGGGCGGGACGTCGTGGGGGCGGCCATGTCGCTGTACGGAACGGCGGGGGCGGTTCCCGCCGCGCCCTGCACGGATTATATTTAAATTAGGATTTTAAAATCCTATTTTTCTTTCTTAATAGTTTACTCTGTTTTTCTAGGTAGCTTTTCAGGTTTCCTGGCAGGCTTGGGCACTCTGTTATCTCGCGAGTCGTTCGGACAAGGATTGAGAGTGAGAGCACGGGGACTGAAGGAGGTGAGGTCAGGTCCGTGGAGCAGAACTGGCACAGGTCACACTTATCCAGATGCCTCAGGGGTGTGCCCTGCACGAGAACGACTGACAACATACAGGAAGACAGAAATTTGCTGCAAGTTTACTAAAACACACAGTTGGTCACACATCATAATTCCTACTCTGCTTCTGAGCAGGTTTCTGTGTGATACTTGTCCTCATCATTATGTAGGTTAGTAGAACCTGAGAAGGGTTTGCTTATCTTAATGCTGTTCGTGTGTGAGAGGTGGTGGGAGATGCTTACCCCTCAGATTGTCAGGAATATACAAACATCACCTTGGCCACTTCAAACACCTGCCCCACCCTGATTCTCCACCTCTTGCCTATTATTTCCCCCCTTAAATCCTAGAACATGCTAGTGAACCAAAGGAAGATTTAAGCATCTGTGCAGGTGTAAGAAAGATGTCTGTCAAAGGCGTAACTCTCAGGTAAATAGACCAGAAAAACCTCTGACTAATGCGGTTTTGGTGAGCCAAATCCCTTGGTTACTTCTGCAGGTAATGTTTCACGTAATATATACAAACCAGAGACGTGATTAACTGGTTGGAAGAACAGAAAGACTATTTGCTGTGCTCAGGAAGAGTGAAACACAACAGCAATTACAAGATCATCCCATTATATAGGTGTCTTAATAATACAGTTGGACAATGTGTCATTTGTTCATTGTAATTGCAGTATAAACCAAAGCATTAAAGCAGCTGGCACTATAGTGATTTACTAATAATTTTTTAAATGTCCCTTAGTAACTTTGCCTTTAATTAAGAAGTAATCCAGCTGTCACAATAAATTGCATCTACCTGGCACAGGGAGATGGTGCACTCTCTTGTGGTTTTCATCACCTTTTGAAGTGTTGCAGAACACCTGATCATTATCTTTCTGCTGTGATGCAGCTCTGCAGCATCTCGCAAGAAATCATAGGCACTTCCATTGACCTTTCCCTTTTTAAAAGCAGATGAAAGTAGCTCAGTAATCATAAAATTCAAACAAAAAACAATGTTCGTGTAAAAAGTCAGTATATATATTATTAACTATGGTAATTCTTTGTTGCTGTCCCATTTTGATTAATGTAATAAATTGTCCAGGGAAAACTGCCCACTTGAAAAATCTTGGATTCCATATCATAGCAAATCCAAATTGCTTTAAGGATTTGCTGTTTAAGAGCAGGTTTTTTTTCATTCAATTTCTGTGTATTCATCCCTGGTAGGTGAGCTTAAAAGTTATTAAATTTATTTCTTGAAGGACTTCTGTAGAGCTAGTGATGTAAAACATACCAATAAAGAACAGAATATCCTTAAAGGGTATTATAACATCTTCCTAAAATGAATTTTATTGCACTTACCACTTGCATTTAAAATGGTACTTTCAGTATTGCAAGCATTGTAGACTACCTGTTTCCTGGGTTTTCTAGATGCCCAATACTTATTTCTGTACAACATGAACCTCCATAGGTACCAGTGACTATGTTAGTCCAAAAATAAGTTTAGTCATTAATTGAAATATTTTAATGTGACTTCATACACTTCAGGATGAAAGTAACTGCTTGTAAGCAAGAACTCATAGGCCTTTTTGTTAGAGCAAAGATTCTGTTAATATTTGGGGTTTCATCTACTTACAATGAATGGTTGAGTTTGGTTTTTTAAATCTGTTCTGCTACTCTGCAGATAAAAAACCTGAGGTAAAATTCAGAGATTTTCCTGTCAGCTCTCTAACTGCTGGTGACAGAAGATCCAATGTGAAGGGACAAATGAGATATTAAAAAACTAAAACAAATTAAATCAAAGTTGCACCAGTATGCAAGTAAAGAAAAATAAAAAAGAATGATAGTGCCAGGGATAGGGAGATAATGCAAAGCAAAGATGTGGGTTCTTTAAAGCTCCAAATCTTTCCAGGTGTGCTATAACAAGTTTTGTAAAGTATTTAGAACAAACAATCTTATTTTAAAACTCAGTTGTGAAACCAAGTATTTTCAAAGTAACCTGTTTGACCTGAACAAAAATTGACCTGATTCTTGACAGAGTTGCCATCAAGATAACTGTATTAAATTCAAGAACTTTGGAGGAAACTTGAAGAGCATCTTGCAGGTTACTTGCAATTAGTCCTTTGACTTTTGGTGGCTTTGAAATGCACTCCGGTGAGGTCTCAGCTGCACATAAGACACTCTGTGGCATGGAACAACCCCTCTCTTTTCATGCCAACCAAGTGCCTTTGGGACAGCACCTGGTTGTAACTTGTAGTTAGTAACAGACACTTCTCAAAAAGGAGAAAGAAAACAGCATTCCTCTGTGTGATGTGCTACAGGCTAAAAGCATACCACTGTTCTCAATGCAGGCTTTATTTCACTGTGGTGAACTAACGACTAAATGATAACTAATTATCACTAAAGTGATTGCATATGTACTTAGCATAAAGCCTTCATTCCATACCAACCACATCTCAAACCTTACTCTAGGGCCCAAAAGCTGTAGAAAGTGCCAGCTGTGGAAAAGCTGTGACCTAATAGTTTCCAGCCAGGTTAGTACTTCACAATATTACTTTTTCAAGTACAACATTCCAAGAAACAGTCAATCCACAAACACAAATGCATAAGGTTTCTTGCATTCTTAATAAAATTATTTATAGTTGGGCAAAAATTAAGTTGATCAGAGACTTGTGAACAAGTGTGTAACTAAGGTTAATTCATTTTTACCTGGTCATGGTACTGCATCTTTCTAATTATAATACACAACAGACTTTTCATATCCTTCACTAGACATTTATAGGTTTAATAATGGGCTAGCAGATAAATGTGTTCCAATCCTCCAGACACAAGCCCTTGATCAGAGTTAAAATTCCAAAGCATCTCCCTCACTGACTGGTTTGTTGGAACAGCTGTAGATAACAAAGCAGTCAGGGAGAAAGAGGTACCTAAACTTAACCAGCAGGACAGGGCAGTGACATTCTCTGCACCACCACTGCAGCCTGCAGGATGGAGGTTTCCTTTGCTGCAGGAAGTCAGCCATGGCAGTGGTGGGAGATTATTCATTGTTTCCCCTCACTTCCATGACCTGGGAAAAGTCCCACAAAAGTCACAAGTCCATTAGAATTTTGAAAACTTTAGGAAAGCCTTTGTCACAGTTGAACCCCCCTGAGCGGGCAGCTCAGCCCTACACAGCCACTCCCCTCCAATGGGACAGGGAAGAGAGCTGGAAAGGCAAAAGTGAGAAAGCCCGTGGGTTCAGATAAAGACAGTTTAACAGGTAAAGCAGAAACTCAAACAAAGCCAAGACAGGAATTCATTCACCACTTCCTATGGGCAGGCAGGTGTTCAGCCATTTCCAGGAAAGCAGGGCTCCATCACATGTGATGGTGACTTTGGATGTCAGACACCATAACTCAAATGTCCCACTCTCCTCCTTCTTCCCCCTAGCTTGTATTGCTAAGTACATCATCATCATCATCATCATGTGGGCTGGCGTATCCCTTGGGTCAGTTGGGATCAGCTCTCCTGGCTTTAACCCCTCCCAAATCCTTGTGCCCCCCAGCCCACTCACTGGTGGGGCAGTGTGAGAGGCAGAAAAGGCCTTGACTCCGTGCAAGGCCCGTTGGGCAGTAACCAAAACATCCCTGAGTTATCAACACTGTTTTGGTCACAAATCCAAATACAGCCCCATACTAGTTACTTTGATTAAAATTAACTCTCCCAGCCAAACCATTACACCCTCCCATTTCAGGGCAGTTCCAATATTTCACTGATGTCAAGAGAAGGAAACAGAAATTTGCTCCTTATGAAAACATAGTGTTTCTTACCTTTAATGTTTATCTTCAGCAGGCTGCACAAGAGAAGTAAATCAGAGAGAATGCAGGTGGTATCCAATTTGCACAGCAGACAGCAATAGGAAATTCGGCAGAATGATTATGCCCTTTTGTATGTTTTAATTAGACCCAATTATCATCCTTACATAGTGAAGGCATTTTTCCTAATGAAATGATTGAATCAACTTCATTTAACAATTACTAAGGAAAAAGAAGTGTAAATACAACTTACACTGTCAGACAGTATTTACAGGAAAACTACACAGTAGAGTATTTCCAGGTTGTGAAACTCACCTGTTAAATTCTTTCCCAGAAGCAGAATAAAGAAATAGGTCATTGGTCTGGACATACTGACTAGACTAAAACTGTGTCAGTAGAAAATGCACTGAAATAGTCTGAAGTCCTTTGAGAAGCTTTCAAAAACACTTATTAGTCTAGAAGCAGATATCCCTACCTTAGTGTTTATCATCATGGAAAAATTATATGACATAACATTTTGGAGATCACAATAGCAATTTTCTACCAGTGGATTTTGATTAGGACAGTACCTGTTCAGTTGTACTTACCCTCTTTTTGGTAACAGAGGTTAGTATAACCTGGGTTTCACAGCTGGCTAAAAACAAAGTGAAAACCAACAGTTGTAGCTAAAAAGGTTGTATGTGTGAAACCTACAAGTCAATCATATTTTTTAGTTATTCCAAGGGATGAGGCTTGTCCAAATTGTGTATTCTTTTCAAATAAAAAGAGCAGGACAAAGCTAGATGTTTTATTTTAGAGTAGTGACTACTGTAGAGATTATTGTGATTCAGGCTAAAGCCTAAAAATGTTCACTTAAAAAAAAAAAAATCCATTACATAACCTATGGTCAAGGAATTGTATAATTAAATTTTCTATTTCATCTTTTTCATCTATTTCATACCAGCATGATTCTGGCTGTAACTGTGTACTCTTTTTAGTTAGGAATGTAAAAATGCATCTTAAACAAGATACAGCTCTGAAACTGGAACATTTACCTCTTATCTAGTTAAACTGCCACTTATCCTGTATTGGCTGTTCCAGAAATAAGCTGCTTTGTTGGCTAAAGTCAGAACTAGCATGTTTAAAAATACAATCTACAGGCTTAATGTACAATAGTTAAGGCTTGACATTTTTATAGTGGTAAAAACTACATTTCACAAAGCTTGTCCTACCTCAACTTCTCTCAAAATTTGCTAAACCCATACTTGAAATATGAGCACCCTCAAAATCTGTATGAAAAAGAAAGCTGAGCTTGGAACAAGATCAAGATCTTTACACCAGTAATTTTTTGAAGCCATGCCAGGCTTGTTTTGGCATCTGCACAATAGCAAGGGCAAACTGAAGTTGGAAGCTGTGAAACCACTTAGCTAGAAACAGCAGCTTTATACCAGGTCTGAAGTTTGTTCAGTTTAGGATCTTACTTTTATTTAAATAAGCAGATAGCTCAGCTGCTTTCACTCTGCATAGTTCTGCTTCAGCCTTCAATATACCAGTCAGGCTTGTGCACTGGCTAATGTAGTACACTAAGATCAAGTGCTTTCTACTGTTAAAACAATTTACTGAAACTTTTGAAAGGAGAGAGAGCCACTGACCTACCTTCTTAGTAGTTCATATAACCATTTTAAACATTGGAACTATTTATAGCATTTGACACAGCAGCTTAGACAAGGACATAGATCATGGCTTTTCAGTTCTCAGGCCACAGGAGTGCTGAAGGCTTGTCAAAAAGCCCAAGAGCTTTAAGAAAGCTATTTCAGAAACACTTCCTAGCATTTGTATTCAGGTTTGATGTAAAATGCAAGCACCAGACTTCAACTACAAATACCAAGTTCCTCAGCAGTCCCCTGAAATGAGGAAATAACTTGTATTAAAATCTGATTCAAGTCTCATGCAGGGAGGAAGCCATACACATTAATGCTTCGTAAAGTTCAATTTAAAATATATTGCAGCTGAATAAGTGCTTAGTGACTGTTTGCAGGTTTAAGAATTTCAACTACTTCACTACTGAAGGACTGATGCTATGATGACCATGCTAGATTTTGACAGGGTATGTATTTAAAGGAAGTAGTTCTAATGAAGTACATAGCATTGCACTTGTAATTTCTTGACCTTTCAGGAAATTTCTTGACCTTTAGAAAGAAAAAAGGTAGCTAAATCTTGAATTAATTTTGATCAAGGTAACACTCTTGAGAATGGCATTAAGCAGGAACTAAAACAATCCCAGTTAAATACAAATTACCCTAAAGTATTTAAACTTGGAGACCAGTTCTATGTAATATTCATGTACACCCCACATCAGGAAAAATGTCAGTGATGTCTTAAAATTAAAACCACGGGCAAGATTAATACTAAAATGCATATTAACTTGTTTTATTGAGGCACAACAAGGCATTGTGAATAGCCCATACTTGAGGCAATCAATAGTGTAGTAAGCTGGACATTAATACAGTTTAGGGTAAGTGCAAACAATATACATTCACAGCTTTATTAGCAAGGCTACATCACAACTGATAAAGTGCCAAATTAGTGCTGATTCAGTACCCCCACTCCATGATTTCACCTTGCAAAAACAGGACCACCATTTCCCACCAATAATGGAACCACATATCCTCTATAAAGTCAGTAATAAGTGCAAAGCTAGTCCCACCCCCCTCACCAAGGTGTTTGGAGCAGCTCTTTTGTAAACATTGCACTGGATTTTAGTCCTGATAAAGGAGGTATCCCGAAAAGGTGGAGTATTTCCAGCTACTTCCATAGATGGCCCCCCGATGCAGCCGTAGCCAGATCTGGTCTCCCTGGAAGAGCTGCAGGACCGCATGGTTACTGGCTGTTTCATGGTCAGGAGCCCCATCATTTGCATACGCTGACACAAGGACCTCTTCATTCTTCATGAGATTCACATACAGAGGGACATTGACAGCCAGTTTCAGCATGTGGAAGATGAAGACATAGGTACCATTCACTGGACAGTTGAACCTACCAAGCTGGATATCAAAAGTTTCTCCAAGGTTATTCAGCAACAGGTCAAACACAATGGGTTGGTCTAGAGTTCCAGGAGCCAGGTTGGATGTTCGAGCGGCAGAGAAGGCGACCCTCATCTGCTGTGGCAGCGGGTAGACGTGCACCGGGAGGATGGTGGCAGCCTGGCTGGTCACTGGCATATCCACAGGGGTGATGCTGCGAGAGTCTCCCTGCCCAGAGTCCCCACTGTTGAAGGTCTCATTGTCTCGTTCTGGGCTGCTCACCTGAGAGGAGTCACTCCACCCTGCTGTTAAAAACCATTAGCAGTGGTAAGTATTGTAACAGAAGGATACCCTTAAGCCTGTGGGCATAATCTTAAGCAGCAAGTGTACAGGCTTTGCAGCAGATTGATCTTTGAGCCAGAGCAAATTGTCAAAGGACTCCAGTGAAAATAGAACTTTGAAGCTGATTAAAGCCAGCTTCATCACACTTGCATTGAGCAGGATGAGACATAACTGAACTACGAACAATTACTTCTTATACTTCCAAGTAGGAGAGGGCAGCAGGTTGTAATAGTTTTTGCTTTAGTATATCATATGTCAATTTAAAAAGCATATGCTAACTTCTGAGAAGAAATAAAATGTAATTGCTGGAAACACCAAAGTTAGAGGCAAGTTATCTTCAAGATCTCAATTTTCACTTCATCAACACTGTTCTTCTGCAGTTGCATTTCTTGTAGACCTTGTCAACTTATCATGCTAAAATATTTTAAGTCTGACAAACTAGTGTTGCTTTTAAGTCTTCTGCACCTCACTCCCAAAATAAAGCTATTAATCTTTCCAAACATCCAAGTTAAAAGGGTCTAGAATGAAAACCTTATTAGATCTGAGAAATTTAGAGCAGTCACAGTCAAGCTGCAAACCATTGTTATTTTCACTGGAAAACAACACCTTAACACAGACATTAAATAAGTGAAGTTGCTGTGAAATCCTAATGCTAATGGGTACCTTCATCAGCTGTTAATTCACCATCATCTCCTGTTCAGATGTCTTCTGAAATATATTCTATCCCTCAAGCTAGAATATGACCTGCATTATCCTAAAACAGCTTCTACAATACACTATAATTTCTCTTTAGTTTCTAAAATAGTGATCTACAGCTACTCTTCATCTCATTTATCACCTGTAGCACTGGAAGTCCATATTTTTCCAGCACATACAGTAGAAACAATTAACCTCGTATCCAACTCTTCAAAACACATGCTATTCATGCTTGGACACAACCAGCCTTATTTATTTCTTTAGCTTTTATACTCTATTATGAAAACACAAAGTACACCTGTATTACCAAATACATTTTCATAGAAAAAAATATTTTACAAAGTCTCTGTGATCTGATAGCCTACCCAGAACAAGGGAGGACTACACACTTAAGGGGAGAAAGCCAGTGCTTCTTCCCTGAAGGCAGGGAACTGCTGTTTTTTCCTAGTCAGATTATTTGTGAAGTTCAATAAGGTACCATTGTGTCAAAATTTTGACATGAAGACTCCAGACTAAAAATAGTGAAATTAAATCCTCTGCTGTGCAATGCTGTGGAAGAACAGCCCTCAAGCCTCCAGCTAAGCTTGATTAACTTACACCAAGCTAGATCTGTTGGGTGAGGGATCATATTCTGCTTTTCACATTGCTCCCAGCAACACCCCAGCTGCAATGCCTAAAAACATACTGGACCACTGGGGGCCTGGTGTTGGCCTTACCTCTTGAATTTGCTCGAGGACCACTACTTATCCCACCTCGTTTATAGCACTGCTGGTAATTAACATCCTGAAAGAAGTGTTAGGGAGATGGCTATAAGCAAATCTGAACTCAATTGAGGCAATACACTTTTTTCACAATGAATTCCATCTCTAAAATACAATGACAGTTCAGAAACAAGATGCAGATAAACAGCTTTACTTATGGAAAATTTACTTATTATAATAGCTTGTATGAAATTAAAGATCTACTTTGATGCCAATTGTAGCAAATTAGCTTCTGAACAGTTGATGTTATTGAGCAATACCCTTAAATCTCAAGTCTGTTCTAAGTCCATGAGCCTGCACAGAAGACATTGACAGACCCACCTTACACCAGGAACCTTTGCCTACTTAAGTTTTTTAATTATTTTTGGGGTTTTGGCCTAGCCACATTCTCAGCCAGTCCATTTGGGAGTTCATTATTTTACATTACAGAGGCATTTTAGTGAACCAACTTTTTTAAAATAGACTGGACTCATACAATATGTTATTTACCATCTGTTTGCATTTCAAAGATTCATTTCAGACTAAAATCAACCTGTCATACAGAGATGTTACCTGTCTGAACTGACTTATTTCAGCTGCTGTCTACCATTCCACAAAAGGGTTTGTCTGTGAAACAAACCTAACCTCTAGCTTGTAAGTAATAGTTCACCTGTTAAGATAATGAAAAACTACCATGTTAGAAGATCTGGCTTCCTATCTTCCATCTTCCTAGTGGAAGGCTACTGGAAATAAAGTCAATACCTACCCTCTGAGAATATGGCATTCCAGCATAATCTCTACCAGGAAACTGTAGCTGGCCATAGTTGCCATTAGTTAATGAAGGTGAACCTCTGTAAGCATCAAAACCTGTTCAAACAAAGTTGATTATTCAGTATCATTTACTGTTTGATTTACACTACAAGTCCAGAATTTAACTACAGATCTTTTTTTGGCAATTATGTACATTAAGTTATGCACTAACAGAGCTATTCTTAGATTTGGAATTGAATAGGAACCTTGCTACTCTTATAGCAAATGCACTTCATTAGCTACTCATAACTTACACACTACAGCTATATCAAAATAGTGTATTTAAAAATATTAAAATCAGGCCCTGTCCATTGCCTGTGATACCAATGGAATGTCACAGAACAGCTGAAAAGCTAAATCCAGCAATGGGATTAAGAAACACTTTCTTTTCTGTTACATACACTGAGCTATTACTGGTATACATTTAGGGGCTACTATAATATTTTGCCTCTTCAGCTATTAACTTAAGCTACTATTTAACTACCAAAGCAAAGCTGCAAGTAATTTCATAGCAGACACAACCAAACCCAGGACTGCTGTTAAGTCCGAACTATCAAGCTCATCTTCTAGTACATGTTCCTACAAGGTACTGACCAGGCTCAGCCCAACTGAAGCACCTATCACAGACCAAGTGCCCTTCACTTCAAAGGGGAATAGGCTACAACCCGCAGCTGTTAGCTACCAACAACCTTAATTTAGTAACTGCTTAAAGTCTGCTGAAACTCTCTGTAATACTTCCGGTAGCAGCCAAAGAATAACTGCTCTGCAGAGACCAATAAGCTTCCTCATAGAACTCTTCAGTTTGTTATTCATCTAGAAGGGCTCTTCACTACTGGAAGCCTCTCCGCCATCCTGGTTTCTGCTGTTAATATTAAAGTGAGCAGCGCTAAGCAAAAAATACCTTATTTTGCACAAACACAGTAAGTGGTATATGAAGAGGAAACTAGCCTGCCCAGTTTGTCAGCAAGATGCCAAGAGAAAGAATGAAGTTGGTAAAAAGTTCAGAACAGCAAAAGAAATTGCCAACAGAAAAGTCCATATGAGTAATGTAATAACCTATTAGTGAAAGTTTCTATCTTCATATTTAGGCAAGCTATGAAATTGCTCTGCCATTTGGCCTGACATCTCAAGTACAGGGACCACAAATAAAAGTTGGCATGAACTTCCTTAAATTCTACAACAGAGGGCCCAATTCTCTGCACATTGCCCTTAAAGTCTTGTTTTGAGACATTTCACATACAGAACATGAACTTAATACTGTCTTGTACTAAATCACATTCTACTGGCAGGACATTAGATCTTCTTTAGGATGATAGTAAATACAGACATACCTTTGTACCCAGCAGGGGAGCGGTATGAATTAGCCAGTGACCTTCCACCTCTAGCAGACCCTCTGACAGACCCACGGCTGTTGAGGTAAGGCTGAGGGGGTCTGGGAATAACATTAGCCTGTGCTGGATAAAAGGCAAGGCTACCATTGCTAACAGGAACAGCTCCATCAGGTTGATAGTTCACTGCTTAAAACAGAAGGCACAGACAAGTCAAAGCTTTTTACAACTGCAGTAAGTTACCACACACAGAAGCAACAGCAGCATTAGGACATTCAGAGACCAATTAAGCTGCTCTGAATAGTCTGTTCTTCTGTCCCTTCATTACTTCATTTAAGTGATTGGATCCTTCTCTTTGTTTTGTACAGTGTAGTGGTTGTTAAAATCTACTGTAGACAGCACAGGCTCAGAGGGCAAGCCCCTAATGCATTCAACAGGAGTCAGTTGCACAGGTGAGAACAAGATTGCCAGCAGCATGAAAATACCCAATCTAGGTTAAAAATCAAGTAACATTTGATTAAGAATTTTCACTGATAAACTAGGTCACCTCAGTATTGACATCCCTTGAAACAGCAAGACAAACTCCATCACACCTAGATAGCAATAAGACAACTACGGAAAGCAGATATTTGGGTTCAGTCTCTTCAATAGACATTCCTACCATATTCAGCATTCAGCTCCAAGCAAAATGTATTCAAGAATGCTTTTCACTCACAAGGGTGAGTGAGTGGTTAGCTTTAAACACAAATCTTGCAACCATGAATGTATTTCCACAAGACCATGCTTTATTTGAATCCAAAAAGCTTAAAACTGATCCAGAACAACAGTATAAACTCCTGTGTGAAGCATGTGCAGAGCCATTGCAGAAGGTTAATACAAAATTATGATTTTCCACAAAAAAAAAAAATCCAGATGGCTTATCACCCATAGTCTCAGTGATGAGAAGGAACATTGAAGCTAAACATGCTTTTCTGACTGCTACACTTACACTGTTCTTTATATCTCATTGACTTCACACACTATCAGTCTGTTTCTAGTCTAAGACCAGTGAAAATCACTCTGGCAGAACAACAGCAGTTGTAAATGACCTTGAGCCATTTTATTAGATGCCCTTATGAATACAGATCCCTAGTTGTCATTTTCTTTCATCCTAAAACCTCAAGACATTTAGGGGCCAGTTTCATTTCAAATTTAGTGTTACCTATAGAAACCCACCTCTTGCACTACCTGAACATCAAGTAAGTCAGGTTTGTGTTGAATGCAACAGCTCAAGTCCACTTACTAGCTCAGTATTTCTCAGGTCAGACTGAAAACTTATCCCAGCTTCCCTACTTAGCATTCAGCAACTCCCACTGACAGCACTATTACCAGAGACCAAATTAATGGTTCCAAATAAGAGTATTTCATCATTACTACTATTCCAAGCAAATCATTGTTTGACTGGCAAGTATCACCACATATGTGAATTTCTCACCTACTGGGAAATTCAGGCATGCAAATGACAACAGTTTGTTCATTGACTACAGAAACAAGTTTGAACCAGCCTTTCATCCTGCTAGCAGTTTTGAAATTAAGTTTACATACCATCAACTACATTAGAGTTGATGTATGCCTAATATTAGACATTTATGTAGCACCTGTTAAGAATTTCACTGGGTTAGAAGTATTCACAGCACATGATAATGAACTTAAATACTATTATAAACTGAACATATTAAAAGACTACTTGAAATACAGATGCAAGCGCAGTTCTCACCTGATGACAGAGATTCTTGTGAAAGAGAGGTGTGTTCTGCAACATGAGAAGATTGCAACTGGCATTGAGGAGGAGTCTGTGTACTTGCTGTGGAGAAACTCTGGTTATATCCCGCTGAATATGAAGAATCCTCTTTAATTTCTTGGTCTTTACGTGGAGGCAGTGGTGCATTCACTTTAAACACCTACAATATATTTGAAAACAAGTGCTTAACACCAGCTAACATCTCTGCCTAATGCCACCACCCTGTCGTGCTGTGGTTTAAATCCATATGCTTTTTAGCGTATTTCTAGATCACCATCTGTTTCTTAGAAACAACCAAAAACATCATACATCAACCCATCCTTTTCCCTCAGTAAACTTACAGAACACACTCCTGTTTATGGAGCTACTACCCAAGGAACAGCTTGATTGACCACAGCTACTGTACTCTGTCAGCAGAACAATTACCATACAACAAGCTATTTTCCTTCTATGGGAAATCCTCTGACTACCTGTCCTGCAGCTCAAGCTGAAGCTGCGACAGCCTGTTCTGAGATGAGATATTCACATTTGGGAAGAATCTGGGTCTTTCTGCATGTCTTGGAACCAGATATAACACTGCTATCCACTCAAACAACATATTAGACATCATTTGCCCCTTCAGTAAGTGGAGCTTCATCTTCCCTACTCATTTAACATTCTCCAAGAGTAAACACTTAACCTAGGTAAGTCTTGTGATTCAAATGTTATACCTGGGCAGTACAATGATAAGCAGATATTACTGCTTGTTAAATCTAATAACCCAAACTTCAGTCATTCCAGTAATTGCATTACTTTATAGCCAATGACACAATTACCAGAAATAATTCTGTCAAAAGAGACAACTATCATCAACATCAAATAGGCAAAATCTGTTTTGATTAAAAGGATCTAAATTTTACATAAAGAGCTCTCAGCAGTACTGGTACTGAGTCTACAGGTGTATCTAACAAGACTATAAACTCTCTGAAGACCAACTTGGGCAAAAGCCACAGCTAGATGATGCAAGAAACAGCTTCAGAGCTTGACAGTTCTTGCCATTTGCAGATGCCCTTATAATTAAAAAAAACCCAAGGGTCAAGAAATCCAGTATTGCCTCTAAGAGGCAGTAGAAATGCCTCATGATGAGCATAAATTTTGAGCCATTGTAAAGTAAAACTTATTTGTTTTATTTTTCATTTTTGATTGCTTCATCTGGTAAATAAAATGATCCAAAGCTATCCTTTTCCAAAAAGGAATTTAAGAAGGCAGGGCAGTCAGGCTGTCAACACCCACACCCTGAAGAATTCATAGCAAGCCTTCTGTTTTTTCCTGCAGCGAGGGTTACAGGTGGAATTCAAGTCAATGACTAGAGCTACGGGTCAAGCCTGTCTTTAAGCTTCCATAAGCACAACAGCAGCAATAGGATGTCTGAGGACCTGTAATCAGATACTTCCATTACTGTCACTGTGATACCACTATTTGGCATGGAATCATCCTGGCTTATCTACTCAAGTCCAGTGGTTTTCTGGCAGCAATGGGGTATGCTTTCCTGGCAGTAATGAGAATCTAAGCAATGTAGGGAAGAACGAAACCCTGCGCTGCAAAGTTCAATATTTCTACCACTACAAGAGGAATGAACATATTTGTGACTTAGTTGACAGATGTTTGCCAGGTTTCCCTAAAAATCCCAAGAGCAATCTCAGACATTTAACATCTCTGAAAACATGGTAATAGTTCAATTGACCTTTCAGTGGTTATGATCAAAGCACTCTGAACACAGACAGCAAGTTCAGACATAACCAGAATGACTGAGACCAAGACTCCATATTTATGCCATGATAGATGCTTATCTTACAGACTGGGTCCCCAAAATACTCTGGATCCTTTTATCACAGCATGCTGCCACTTCTCAACTTTCAAGAAAAATGACCACCTAACCACTTAGCATAATTTAAACACATCCAGCTTGGGAAAAAACACCTCCCTACCACGAGTTGCTTCATTTGTAATGTGTATCACAACTCTGTGCCTCTGAGGTAGGTTTGACTTGAACCTCTTCTACAAATACAGAGCATCAAGCAGAAAAAGTCAATGCAGTGATTTTACTACAGACCACACCAGGATGTCAGAAGTTTTAGTTAACTCCTGTGATTTGAAAGGCTATTAGATACCTTCCTCCACCAGTTCCTACCGCATACGTCTCAGTACTGCAAGACAGAGTCCAGCAAGTTGTGAACTATACTGGTACTTCTGTTAAAATGGAGAATGCCTTTGGAGACTCAAAAGCTTGCTTTTGAGAAAAATATTAAACCAATGTTTCTGTCATCTTCTGAAGAATATACCAGAGGAGTAAATAATGATGCCTTCCCTGTACTTAATGAAGACCCTTCCTCTGAAGCTCTCTAAGCCTGCACTGCAGATTACCAGGAAGCAGCAATGTTTGATACTATTTTTTCAGGCCATACCCCATTACTGATGGTCTATAATTGCAGTGAACATTTCAGACTGTGTGGTATATTTCCTAGATGTGTACACTGACTGCTTGTTAACAACATAGGATAATGAGCAACACCAGTTTTCCAACAGGCTTCTGAAAGCATTTTGGCATAATAGCTATATTCAGGATTCCCTTTCTCCAACGAAGTCTGTTGTATTTGAAATCTTTTCCCAAGAACAGTGTAAGTGCAGTTCACCTTACTTTAGGGCACCGCTATCAGTCTGTTGATTTCAGGCCTGACTTCTTCCTCTTAGTTCCTTAAGGCTACTAAGATATCCTAGTATTAGTTTTTTGGCACCATACAGAGCAAAACCAGGATCTTTGCTCTTAGATGATCTGTTTTAAGTTCTGAGGAGAATCAGAGGACTAATCTAGATTTTATTGTTAAAACAAAATGACCTATTAAGTTCTGTACTATTCCAAGAGGAGCCAGCTCCTCAGTGTTAGTCTCAAGTTACTCACATCACTGTCAGTTCTGTGTGTTGCATACTTACAGTCTGCATAGCCTGAAAGGGAGCTGCTGTTATTGTGACAGAGCTGCTGCTTGCTGGAGGAGACTGAAAGCTTTGTGCTGGTGGCACTGATGGCACGGGGGTACTTGAAGTAGGCAATGGCGACTGTGGCTCACTTGGGAGAGGAATAGTTGCCTAGGGGAAGAACAAATGTAATGAAAGGTCACTTGATAATTATCAGGCAGTAACAGAAGCAGTTAATTTGTTCTAAAGCCTAGACTGACAAAAGTCAGCAGTTTCTACAGGATGACATTTGGACATATTAGAGCTACAAAATAGCTTTTGCTTACAATTTCAAATCTTGCTGTGCATCCTCAGCAAACAGTACTTCTATTGCAGTCTCTGCTGATTAAGTGAAATGTGCCTATGAGCTACTATATATACCATTCTTTGGAATAATATCACAATAAAGAGACATTAGGTATTTTTCCCTAACACTAAGGACACACAGAACACTTTCTGTTCCATTTAGTAAAAGAAGATTCTTTGGCTGATATTGGACATTACTTCTCTTTTCTGAAGGAACTTAGGAAATTTAGGGAGTCTGATTTTTTTCCCTTTCCAACTTAATTATGTTTCAGATTAGAAACAATGCTGAGTTGTCCAGACAAAGTATTAACCAGCATTAGGCCTCAGCTGAGCAGACGGCAAAATGAAGTGTTGATTTAGAACACCAATATTTACACAAAACAGGAGTCAAAAGGGACATGTTTAGAGCCTTACCATTTCAGCAACTTAAATATTTACCTTACTTGTGATAGCTCACCTGGGCAATTGCAATCTTTTTAGGTATCAGTGGCTCAGAAATACGTGAACTTGTCTGATACAGAGGTTGGGAAGTATATTTCTCATTCTCTTGAGAAAGTGATGTTGATGCCTAGAAGAAGCCATAATGCACCTGTTATTATGAGTAGTACTACAGAGTTCTGGTAAAGCTACGAAACACCAGTGCTAAAGTTGAAACAAATGGATTTTGAAAGACCAGGACAAACATTAATTCCAAAGCCAAATAATTAAACAGTCATCTTAACCAAAGCTTCAAGTAATTAGCTTTAGAGATTCAGATTTAGAGTACTCTTCTTACACAACTGGTTGCACAACTAGCTCTGCAAAGTCAAATCATTTTAAGAACAGTAGATTGCTTCAAGCACTTACAGTGAAGTCTGCAACACATATCTGTCTCACTGAATTAAATGGAAAGATAGTAGTAAGCTCTGTTGAACAAGGCTTTGCAAAGCCTGTGTGTCCTATAGTTAGCTCACACTTGTAATGCAACATATAGGAGCTGCTTAATACTTAAATATGGAGCTTAGGGCTAAAGTCCTGTGCTCACTATGTACACATCACAGTGCCTCAGACAGCACTGGGGTGTACTTGCACACCAGGAGGAGCACTGCCACTGTGGAGTGTATGCCCTGGTTCTGCTGGGACCAAAACTTAACTACTGCTTTCCATGGAAAAGAAAGACAGACACTAGACTTCAAGCTTCAAGGGACTAGAGATAGGCTGGGCACAAGCAACCCTAATTCCAAACAATAAGTTTGCATTCTACAAAAAAATCAGATGTTCCATTTTATAGCACAGCACAGGCCTTCTGGAATCAAATTGAACAGCAGAATTATTGAATTCTTGTCAGCACAAGGAGTCCCATGGCGCTGTAGAAGAGATAGAAAGTGTCAAGAACTGGGACAAAACTGCTGATTCAAGACTAATAGCCCTATCAGTATATAGTATATTAAGAAATAGAGTAAGTACTACATACACAGTATGCTGACAACATGTGCATAAGCAAAACAAATGTAAAAAGCAAGAACATTTCCCATTATAATCTATACACTCTGAATTATAGAGTACAACAGGAAAGAGCCAACTGTGTTCTTGAACACAGCAACACAATTCACAAGAGATCTTTAGGACACTTATCTGCATAAAGTGAAGCTTTTCAGCTCTAAACACTATTTGACTGTTATCTGAATGTTTAACTGCACATAAATATAATTAAGCAAGCAAAGTTTTAGGTCTTAGCTGCACACCAGGAAGTGAGATACCCTGTATTTTCAGTTAGCGTTTGAGAGAATATCTCAGTCTTCATCTGAGATATTCAGTCTTCCATCTCAATTTATGCAACCTCTTTGTCATCATTAGAGGGAATATTCTACACTAATCAATGCAAATATTTATGCTGCTCCTATGTTCCTACAAGAATGTGCACCACACTTTTTAGTGAGCACTTTTCATCCCACACCCTTCCTGTGTCAAGAAGCAGACTGTTCACTTTGCATTCATGCTGTATTAGCAAGAACTTGTCACCCATCTTTAAGTATTCCAGACTGTAGGCTGTACTACTGCTGTTACTTTTATGTTGTTCCAGTACAGTTATTCAGGAGGGCCCCAGCTGAGCTTTCTGTTAGGGCTGGCTGTCACACAGATCTGAATGCCAGCGAACCCCAGGGTAACATACCTGTGGTGTCACCAAGTCTTCAGTTTCAGAGCCAGAAAGAGCATGATCAGCAGATGCTAGGGAAGTGTTTGAACCATGCAGCACCATTGATGAAGCAGCAGCCTTGCAAAGAGAGAAAACAGACATAAGGTTTTGAAAATATCATAGTGTAAATATTTGGTTTCACTAAAACTCACACCCTCAGCATGTCCAAGTAAACCTCAGAATAATTCAGGGACTGAAGTGTCTTGACCAGTAAGTCAGTCTTTTAGGAATTCTTGTTTGTGGTAAGGAAACACATTTAAAAGCAAAAGTCACAAGACATTCAAGCACAGTGACTGAATTTAAAGTTCATTTAACCACAATTACCAAAGCTTGAGATACAGTCTTTGGTGTAAGGATCTTGAAGATGAAAACATGCTACCTAGCAAAGAAACTAGCTGTTCTTCTGCACATGACTACTGGCTATGACCTGAATCTAAAGGGAAAATATGCAAACTATTTCAGTGTGTCTTCAACACACTTCAAGAAACTTCAAGCATTTATTGCCCCTTTTCTACCAAAGGAGAAGCCAGCTTTGTCAACATTTGAACGAGCTTAGACTTGCAAGCTACTACATTGTATGAAACAAAACTATTGGCAAGAAAAACAACTCAAGTGTAAGTCCTGCTGGTAAGTAACCTCTACCTGCCTCTTCAGGGCAGTCCTAACTTCCACTTACTTGAAGAGGTTGTTGAAGAAAATCACTCTGACTTGGCAGTTTCTGCTCTTTTGAAGCTGTAAAAATAGAATGCATTAAGCAACACTTATTTTTAAATTCAAACACTACATATAGTTTTGGTGTGCATTTCCACTTTTTTAAAACATTTGGTATGTGAAGGTGCAAACTATTTTTACTATGTGAAATTCAAATATTTAAACCTAGCATCAGCAAACTACACCCAATTGAAAGCTTCAGGTTTTTGGCAAAAGAGGACAGGTATTCAATGACAAGAATATTTTTACCAGATTAAGAAAAAAAATTAATAAACTGGGTAATTGAGTTCTACAGCCCAAGATCCTCCCAGTCTTTTAGTATGGTCTGTTCTTTATATCTAAACAAGGATCTTCACCAGGCCTACTGATCTACAGCCCGAGCAAACCCTGTTTGTGCTTGCAAAACTGTACATTCCATTTACTTATAGTATCACCTACCTACAGGACTACTTGCTGGAGTAACTGAAGGAGGTTGGGATGAACCAATGGCACTTGGTGAAGCCTTATCAAAATCCAGAATGGACTCCTTTTAAAAAAAGATCACCATTGGGTAGAAAAAAATTAAACTCTAGACATAAATGAAACATTTTCACTTGACAAGCTGCTTTTAGCTAATTAGGGCTAAATTCATTCATTCAGTGCCAACACACATTGTCAGCACTGTTTCCCTAACCCAGTACGAACAGGAGCTTTGTGCTACAACAGTAGAGAAAAACATACTTGCATGAAGTTGTACGTCCCTTGTATCTGAGTCATCAGATCCTGAAGTTTTTCCCTTCTCAATACTGGATCTTTTGGAAGAGTTGAAGTAGAGCAAAATTCTGCAGCTGGCTGATGTGCAGGTTTAGGCACCTAATAAGGAGAAGTTACATTAAATCTAATACTGGAAGCATGACAAGCTTCCTCATCCAATATACTTCCAGAGTAACCTAGAGGTGTCAGACACGTGGGCCAAGGAATTCTGTGTTCTTATTGATATTTCCCGAATCACATTTTCACTTTATTTTTTAGAAAAAAATCAGCTTCTTGTTGCTACAACTAGTTAAGCCGCAGCTTCCATAGAATGGTTTGGGCTGGAAGACAGCTTGAAGATTATCCAGCTCAACCCCCCCTGCCATGGGCAGGAACACCTTTCACTAGATTAATTCACTTCAGTTTATTATAGCCAAATGTAAAGAAGTAAGTTTCCTGCATCTAGTGCAAAATTAGGCACTTCCATCTAAGAAAACTCACATTTCAGTTGAAGGCCAGAACAAACTTAAAAATCAAAACTACATCACTCAAGGTTTACTTCTCCCAGCAGAGCCACTACCAATAAGTACAGATCTTTTATTAGGAGGGAATTTCCAGACATTCTGAAGAAATTGCACCCAAGAGATATATTGCAAGCAAGTAACTCAGGATGAGACCAAAGTGTTTCTACTAAAAAGCCAGATAATCTCAATGCACCACCTCCTGCAGAAAGTATTACATCCCAGTTTGGCATAAATACACCTGTACTACCACACAAGAGCCTAACATGGACTTTTGTAGGGCTTTATTACTCCTTGATTATTTCAGCAGGTTCCTTAAGAGTTCATCCCAACTGGTTCTCACTCTACTTTAAGAGAGGGAAATATTTTGTCAGGGAAGAAGTCAGTCTAAGGTAACAGAAAAATCTCTACATTAAGCTCCTTAAGCAGCAGAAGCCCTGTTATTTATGAGGTGACAATAATATTAGACTGTCTAGATGGTCTAACATGTCTTTTGAAAGCAGCATGGAGAAGATGTAGGCTCATTAGAAGTATTTTAAACCAATAATTTTTGTGGTTCTCCAGAGTTTTGTTGTTCTTATGTTGGTCTGTGCAGCTGGAGGGAGGCAAACATGAAGACATTTAGTTGCATTATTTCAACTGGCCCAAATGTTGAGATATGCAGGAACATGTGAAAGCCTTTTTTTCCTACAGGAAAAACTGCTGTGTTTCTAACAGGAGGTTACAACTTCAATATATTGTACAGTAGAGTTATTATTTGATAAAGTCACTGGAAAATATATGGCAGAAGGGTATTTATGCTATGATGACAATTGTCACACTAAATCCACCACAAACTGATAAAGTGCTCTGTCTACTTTTAGGATAAGCCTAAAAACACTCTTGCATATCCTTTCAACAGTTTTCTGAAACGAATCTCCGGCCTTTGCAGAAATTCCAATGCCATGTACAGGCAAGAAGCTTATAGCACATGATTAACTCTGGAGGACTCAGTTTCTAGTATCTATGTGGCCTACATAACTGCTTGGTGAGCTGTGAGAAGTTTCACTTTACTCTTTTAACTAAAGAGTGCATCTTTCTACAGCTCTATCTTAATTAGAAATTCTGCTGCACAAGCACTATCTTTAACTACCAGTTAAATACAAGTTTATATTGCTGTAGTTTCCAATAATGAACAGCAACTACAGCTTTTAAGGATTTAAGTGCAGAACAAAAGATACAGTTGAATTAAGTTAATCTCCATGAGTTATTGATTAAGTTACTGGCAATCTGGATCTTTCTGTCCATCACTTTTAGTCCTCACTTACAAAAAGTCTTAATTTTACAGCACTCGCTGTCACTCGCTGTTCTGGGTTAAACTGATAAATGCTTTTGTTACCCTCTTCCTCCTCCACTACCATTTCTACTAAGACACAGGGACATGACCAAACTGTTTCTGTGTGTTTAAAAATGGGTAACAAGTTTTTCACCTTTAGGTAACCTGAGTCTGGCAGGGTCTAGGGCTCTTAAGATAGTCCACTAGCTGTGTGAGTGAGACTTGTACATTAAACACAGAAAAAAGTTTAAAAAGCCCCAAGGACATGAAAGCAGAAAAGACTTGTCACTTTTACTTCCAAATACGATAAAATTCCTGTATGCTTGTACAATTTGTCAGAGCTTTTATCTGCTTCCCCAGCTCATACTCTATGCATTCTGTTGATAGCATTCTTTACTTCAAGAAGTACAAGAATGCAGGATTATATACATGATATCAGGGCTTTAGGCTAGGACTGAAACAGTGAGCCTTTCCATTCCATAAAGTTATTTTCTAGTTCATATAGATATTAAAATACACCAGCCAGAAGAAGCAGCAGTGAAGCTCATAATGATTTGCTGGTACCTAGGGGTTCAAAACTACAATATTTAAGCGCAATATAAGATTATATAGAGAAAAGTATCAGGAAATTAAAGTATTTCAATTTTTATTCTTTTTAATAAAAAGATGCTTTGAAGAAGAGCAGGTACTTGACATTCTTAAGATGTTTTCTTTCTAGCCTACAACTAGATGCTGTTTCTGGTAGTCATTAAAAGCTAGCAGCAGACTGACCTATTAGTCTGGCTCAGATCAAACCTGTACATGCTAAGATCACTTAACATTAACCTGAATGTTGCTTGAACCACTACAGTTGAACAGCACTGGTAAATTTAGAGTTTAATTTGTCATAAAAAATATTTCTGAAACCTAACTTCAACACTAATCATACATTCAGCAAAACGTATCTTGACTTACATCCAGTGAACTGACTGCCTAAAATCAGAGGTGAAACATCTAGAATTCTTTTTAGAACCAGTTAAGCCATTGCAAATAAACCAATGACCACTTTTGAACTTGGCTAGTTAGAATGCAAATTTACCAGGGACTCCTGTTAAAGCTGGATTTTTTAGAGACTGAAGGTCTACTTACATGCAACACTAACATACCACTTCAACCATCTCATTTACTAGTGAAACTTCATTCTATGAAATAGGCCTTGAATTCCTCTTTAGGTTTGTTAGTTATGGAGTACTAAATGAGGTAGAATGGTGATACCCAAGCTGGAAGTAGTGATTGCCATGTAGATACACAATTAAAATCAGCTTTCTACTCAGAGCAGCATTCACAGTGGGTATGAATTAAATGACACGCTGGATGATAGCATAAGCCAAACTGTTTTGCTTTCCCATACCAGGCCACAAATTCAGCTCTAACCAAGCTTGCTGGTCCACAGGTTGCACAAACACTTAAACAGAACAACAGTTAAACAGGTTCACATCAGTTCACCCTGCTGTCTTGGGCTCAGCTTCTTGGGTATTCCACCTTACAGTACATTAAGTTAAATAAGCATATTTTAATATCTCAAAACATAGTTTTTTAAAGACCTCAGAGCTCTAACAGTTAGATTCAGCTCAGAGGGCAGCAGCAGTGGCACAGATCTTTTATCTGCCATGCCTACATCCCTGCACAAAAGCATTTATAGATTTTCTTTGAGTCAAACAGATCCACCTACAGCATTGCATTGCCCCTTTTTTACATAAGCAAGGGCAAAAGAAATTGTTATCTGAAAAGCTTAACATGATTTTAATTATCCTTTGTATGTACCTCAAGCCAAAGACATCTCTTTTTAAAAAATAGTTATGGAAACTAGTTATGTTGGTAGTACACTGTTTTCTACTCGTTCAATATTCTTTTAGTATTAGGATTTATCAATAGCTATCAAGCAAAAATAAAGGCAGCTGATGTCTTCCTACGGTCTATGTAAATCCAAGTTTGAATACTTTAAAACATGCTTTGTTTACTTAGTTCAGCAATCCCCCTTCAGTGACCTCACATTCCAGCAGTTAGTTTAATTTCAGTATATTGCACACCTGCACACTACTTGGGAGATTTTGAAGCAGTTTGCAAGTTTCTCCAGATGACTGGAGACCCTCCTCTTTACTCACTGCAGCAGTTTTCTCAACCACTTAAGCCATCCATCTATCCATCCCATATAAAATTAAGAGGAAGCATCTTTTCATTAGGAACCATCTTGCATTTAAGGTAATCCGATACCAGAAATTCCAAGGCACTTTACAAGTGCTTGAGACTATACCAGTACTTAGTTTCAGTTACAGGAACACTGTGCATGGCTGGGTGCACAACACCTATTTGTGCTCAGAGTTACTTAGTGAGGAAACCAGGTTTTCCACCTGTACCACCACCAGTGGACACAAGAGTCTACTCAGCTTGAGTGTAAAGATGGCTCAAGCTGAAACACCTTAATCCCATGTTGTTACCCAGTGCTGCATCGTTACATACTTTTTTAATCTCATATTCAACCTTCGGTTTGCGGTCCCGCCTCTAGATACAAGAACATCCATTTTTTCAGTTTTGCCAAGTTTACTAACAAGATACAAGCTTAATCATTTGCCATGAGTAACATGGGATATACTGGTTCCTGCATTCTTGCAGGAAGACAGTTGTGGTTACAACACTGTGTACAGAGAACTGCTCAATTCCCCATATTTTCTTCCTGAAGTCTACCTTTAGATTAACATTTCTCTTAGTGACCTAAGGCAGACATGACAGAGCTCAGTTATCTCTTTTGACAGTGACCAGTGTTGCTGCTACCCAGGCGCAGGTGAGAAAGAAGGTAATGTGATCAAAGGGTAGCAGCCTGTTCAGCTGTAAGCCATGGCTTTCCTTTTATATTTCTAACACTATGCTATTGTTAGACTCCCAGGACAGCAATATGGTTTATGCATCCATCTGGAAATACATATTTAAGCCTCTGTACGGTTGGAATTGCTTGATGTAGACATTAGATGTCTCTTGAATCAGCAGCTATTTTAATCAAAAGCCTAAAAATTACTGAAGTGTTATTCACATGCAGCCACAAAGTATTTGATCCCTGGATGAGTCATACCTGCTTTGTACTGCTAACAGAGGCCAGAGCCAATAGCTACAGATGAACCAAGTTAATTCTTCTGTCTTGTGCATAAAGCAGTTATTCAAGGTTCAAACACAGCAATACTGTGCTGATGTAAAAAGCAAAGCAGACCATCTTGCTATTCAAATATAAACTTTAGCTGCCAGAATTATTTCCCTCAAGAAAGAATGAAAGGAAGGTGGAGTCTATATATTGGCCTACAAAATACACCTTAGATAAACTAATAGGTGGATTTATTCCAATACACTAATGTCAAATGCTTATGACAGATAATACTACATATGCCAACTCACTTCTTTGGGTTCCATATCAAACTTCTTTGGGCCCATCTGTTCCTTTGGCCCCATACTGGCAGCTGCCCAGGACTTCGGAGGGTTCTGTAACTGCGGTGATGACACTTGCTGCTGCCTGTCAGCTTTTTCCCAAGCCTCTCGAGTCTCCTGCTTCTTTTGTTCTGGCTCCTCCCTAACATGTGCAGCCCAAGCCTTCACAGGCTCCTGCTTCTCTGGCTCTTCCCTAACAGGCACTTCCCATGTTTTCACAGGGTCTGGCTTCTTTTGTTCTGGTTGCTCCCTAGTTTGGGTTACCCAAGGTTTTGGAGATTCCTGCTTTTCTTCTGGTTCTTCCTTAACTTTGGTTACCCAAGGTTTTGAGGATTCCTGCTTTTTCTGTTCCTGCTCTTCCCTAACTTTTGTTACCCATGGCTTAGGTGATTCCTGTTTCTTCTGGTCCTGCTCTTCCCTGACCTTTGCTACCCAGGGTTTGGGAGACTCCTGCTCCTCTTGGACACGTGCTACCCATGCCTTTGGAGCTTCTGGCTTCTTCTGCTGTTCCTCCTCCACACAGGACTCCCAGGACTTTGCAGACTCACACTTCTGTTCCTCCTCTCTAACACGAGCTTCCCAAGGCTTTGGAGAATCTGGTCTCTTGAGTTCTTGCTGTCTAACACGAGCTTCCCAAGGCTTTAAGGTCTCTTGTTTCTGCTTCTGTTCCTGCTCTTTAATATCAACAAGCATTTCCCAGGACTTTGGAGGTTCTTGTTTTCTAGCACACTCGGCTTCCCAAGATCTGGGCTCTTCTGCCTTCTTCTTGACAGAGTATTCTGCTTCAGGCAAATAACGCCTGTTGAGAAACTATATAGACCAAAGAAACTTAATGGCTCCCAAGAACACATTTTGCTACTACAGTTCAGGTCAGTTAAATAAGGTCACCCAGCTACTGAAAACTGCTGACTAAAAGCAGAGCCTAGACAATCTAAGCACTAGTCATAGAAACTATGTGGCCATGGCTTTATCCTACAACACTGCAGACTAGCTTTGCTTGGCATGCCACAGAGAAACAGGGAACAGTGCTCAACAGCACAAGTAAAACCCAGCTGAGTGAATCTACTGCCCTTATCCTCAATGCTACCTCATGTTCCTAGGCAGTGACAATGTCAAATCCAATTGTGATTTTTATAAAGGTAGCTCTCCTTCCAAGCACCTAAAAAGCTCTGGTACTATATTAGCAGACATTCTGCTAAGCATCCCAAAATATTAGACCCAGTAACCAAGTATAACTCTCATTCTTAGTGGAGTTTTGATACTAAAATGTCACCAAAGTCTCAGATTAAGTACCACTGGACTTCAACTGCAGACTGTGTTTAGTATTAAGTCTGAGAGTTCAATGATGATGTCCTAACTTTTTTTAAGTGACCACTTGGTCATGAACAGGAAGTAAATACATGAAGCGAAGAATGTACAAGGCTCACTGGCTGACACATTTTTTCTGGCTAGACACCAGATGAGAGTGAGGTAACAGTGTTACCAGTAAGTTACAAAAACTTGTTCTAGAGTACACCCTCTAGTGGGATACCTGGGAAACAGGGATTCAGCGTTTTAAGAACCAGTATTTCCACTTGGAAAAAGACACCCCCTTCCCCACCTTTTGAACCAGGTTTAATGACTTCTATGCTACTGACAGTCAAAGCTTAAGTTCAGGAGTCTGAAGACCTGCTGAAACAGATCTACACACCCCCATGCACACAAGCCTGTCTTGGGTTTCCTAACTTCCCAACAAATCAGAGTAAGACCAACATCATTCTCAACCCCACCAGTATCAAGGCTACTGCAACGAGTTTAGCTTTTACAGACAACTTTAGTAGATGTCTATTTTCTCTATTCCACAGTACACAAAAGATCAGTGCTCCCACTCTAAAGGCAGATGCTTTGTTTTATTCAGGAAAGTGCCAGAGCATTAAAGTACTATACTGCTTCATGTAATCCTGCTCCATTCATCCCAAAATACAACAACAGATGCCATAAATTTGGGGTTAAAAACAGAAATGCAACCAAGTCTTTAATGCTTCCTACATCAAGCAACACTTAAATTACTGTTCAGACTCCCTTTTTAAGTTTAAAAAAGGGCTGCAGAAGTGCATTTATAAATGTGTCTGAAAAATCGCAATACTAAAGGCAAGCAATTAACGGTAGAGTATCTTACCTCCTGTGGCTGTATTTCAGATTTCATAAGCTCCATAATGGATTCTAGAAAAAGGATGTTAATTTGTTTCATCTGATCAAATGCAGAAGGGCAGATCAAACAGTAGCAACTCTTTAAATCTATTTAAATAGTAGTACCAATTTGCTAAACCAGACATTCTGAAAGCTCAGCTTGCCATTCAACATGCTATTTCCAGACAAGCTTTTATTTTCTAAGTTTTACAGCTGCAGAATTTTAGAGTTAAACAAGAAACATTTTATAGTATTCATAATTTTGTTATTCTAATATGTAACTTTCCCTACACACCAAACAGTCCCCACAGCTTCAACTTGCTCAGAAGGCAAAAGCATTCTATTACTATGATTTAAAAGGTTTTTTCTACATTACTAGCTAAAACAGGGCTGCAAGCCCTGCAGGTTCCACTTCAGTTACTACATAGCAAGTAAGCTACAGCACAGCATTAGATTTAGCACCAAGCTATGCAAAGTCAGTGCTCAGTTCAAGCTTTTCCCAACACTGATAGAAAAATTGAACCCTGTAATATTCCACCTGATTCTTTGGCAGACTCTCCTTTTGACAGCTGTCTTGTTTTCTCAGGTTTTCTATTTACTTCTTCTTCCAATTCTTTTACTGGCACAGTGGTGCGAGGAGTTGGGATACTTTCAAAGTAGCCAGAGTCTAGAAGCTTGGACAACAGGTCCTTCATGTGTTTATCTAAAAAGTTCATAAAGTTAAGATAACAAAATCTGAAATTAAGGGGTATTCAGATTACAGATGAAGACTTGTTACTTCCTCCCTTTATATGAACTGCAGTTACACCAAGTTCACACATCTTACCAAGCTATAGCAAAATGTTTTAATTAAGGAAATTATTTATTAGACTGCTTAATTTAATGCAGTTGAAAATATCTTTGCAATCCCAGGGCAAGACTGCAGCTTGTGTTTAATGCCTACAAGGTAAACACAGAGCCACCTGGTCTCCCATATGCTTGGAAATGGCTTTGTTTACCAGGTATAAGCTAGCCAGCTTTGATATTAAAATCATATGAGACTGCAACAGAGGTAAAGCTAAACAGTCACAATGGAACTACTCTACAAGACACTCTCGCTGATAACAGGATGGTGTCGCAGAAAGAAAAGTTAAGAACTGTAGAAACAAGCAGGGGAAATACAAGGGAGTGGTCCCTGAATGAACTTACTCTGAAGCTGGAAAAGATTCAGAGCTGACATGGTTGAACAAAAGCTTAACTGTACTCTGAGAAGCACTGTCCATTTTGCTCCTCTGTGCAAACAAGAGACAGCAGCTAAGAGTACAGACTAAGACCTCAGAAGTAACAGTGATTCTAGGAATTGTTTCAGAGGAGCTGGAAACAGGGCATCCTTGAGAACAGAAAACTTACAGTGAAAGATCACTCCTACCAGTGACAACCACACAAACAAGAATTGTAGATGGAATTTACTATGGCTATAAAAAACTGTCTTCCAAGGCAATGAATGCTAATAAAACAACCTAACAGCTTTATTTAAAGTCTAGCTTGCACAAAGGGATGCAAGACTGATACTAAAGGGATAGAGATACTGATAAACAATCTATTCATGTCAACAGATACAAGGCTAAGGTTACTAGCCTGTAGCAATCCAAGCCTGCAGCTTGTCCAGAACTACATGGGAAGATTTAACACCTAGTTAAATGTCAGTCAGCTACCTGTATGTGGAACAAACAAGTCACACTAATGCTCTGTTCTAACAGTTTCAGCATTGTCAGTAACAAATGAAAGATTCCTGCCACACAGCTGCTACAAGGCTGGCATAAACACAACAAGCAAGGGCTGTTTGCAATAGAAAGACACTACAACTCAATTAAGGGCAGCTTCCTCACAAGCAACTTGTAAATAGGAACACAATGTGTATGTTGGCTTACAACCAGGAATTTTGGAACTGTGCCACAAATGCAAGAAGATCTGTAGAGTCCTACAGATTTTGGTATGTTTGAAAAGTAAGGACACTTCCATTACATCAAAGAAAGACTGCAACTGTGCATGATGTGAAATCTAAGTTAATAACTAGTGTGGTGTCCTGCACTGTAGGGAGACAACAGGTATGAGTCTAGAATCCCTACAAACAAAGGAGACTCTTCAGTGCTGTGGAACCTTCAGCCCAGGGCCAATGAAGCTTTGTAATACATCAGGGTACTCAACTAAGCATTTCATGGCTGGGAACTGTTCCAAGCTTGACCCACGTGCACATAGCTATATAAAAAGCTTCCCACGTTGTGTAAGGTATTCATGCATCAGGTTTTGAATTGCTACCAGCAGTATTCCTCAAAAATATGCTAGTACACTGATTGAAGAGTAAATCTTGATTGGAAGAGGAAAGCATATGGCATTGATTGACCTGTACTTAACTGAACTAGGAGCAGCCATTCATCCTTGGAGGATTGAGATACACACATCACTTGAACGTAATTAATTTGGTAGCCTTCCATGTGTATTCACTGGTTTTAAAATGTTTAACAAGCACACAAATTTTAGATCTTTATGTTATTTCTCTAGATGAGACACTCACATGTTGTTCCAACCACAGGTTTCTCACTTCCTTCTAGAAGGTCCCAGAAGTAGAGAGATGATTGCTCCATCTGGTCTTCAACACTAAAACAAATGACAGTTTTACCAGGTAGAATCATAGCCAAGATCAAGTGCTGCGCTCTCCCAGTATCCCTCATTTTATAACATTCACTAATGTCCAGACTTCATACGTCTCCAGCATACACAGAGTGAATAGTAAGCCCTGAAGCCACTGGAAGTAATTCAGCTGTCTCTGTCTGCACAGGATTTAACCTAGCAAACCTAACTTCTTTTGTTGGTCAATATAGAGATCCTAAGCACTGTCCCACAAAACCACGTGGCTGAATTGCATTACAAGCCAGGATTCCCAAGCAACAACTGCTGTTTAATCAGCTGGTCACATTTACTGGATCAACTTGTCTATGTGCAACCACAATAGCTGCCATTCTCACTAACTAGCAACTCCTGGGAAAATTTACTATAGGTCCAAGATCCACCTCCTCCAGAAGATGGAATTTTCAGTCCACTACAATGAAACACAGTATCCCAACAGAAAGGTTTATACTTCTTGTAGAAGTAATACCACAAGAGTAAGTGAGAAACAAAGTTACTTCATTGGGATGAGACACTCCTGTTGTGTAGCTTTTTATAAGCAGCTGTTACTTGGAAGTAGTTAACTAAAGAGCAAAGATTAGGCAAGTCTAGTGTATGACAAGTGACTAGAATTTTGAGGCACTTAAAGAATTAGTCCATAGTCAAACATGACTTATCCATAAAGTGTCTCAACTTACCACCTAATAACTACTTATTCCATATTCAAATCCAGTTCTTGCTGCACTACCCTACCAGACAGGCTGTCACACTAAGCATGAGCCATCACAGCACCAGAGCAGTGCCACATGAGCACTGATACTGACATTACCTCTGTAACACCATGGTAACATGCATGACATTTAGTGCAAAGGTATCAAAAACTTCAGTAAATTTTTTAAAACCACTTTGAAGCTAACAGCAAGAGCACCTCAGGAGCACTATCTTGCATTCCTCTGGAATAAAGAAGCACACCTGAATCATCAATGTAAATGGAATACAGAAAGTTCTGATTTTACAGCACTTTTTTCATTTCATGAGCAGTGAGATCTCAGAGAAGCAGCACATCCCCAGCCTCCCTGCTAAGGATGGTATTGGACTATGTCCCCTCAGTCCCACAGGGAGACATAAAATGGCAAAGTCTGTCTGTAACCTGCACCTGAGGCTGTAATACTGCAGCTTCCCTCTAATGCTCCAAGGTAAATCTTCACATTCCTAATCTCAGACAAAATCAAGTGTACTGAAGAGAATTTTAATTAATGTTCCAAAACATGGTATTTAAAGACACAGCAGTGTCAAACAGAGGACATTTACCACAACAAATTAAGCATACGAATTAGACAAAAATCCCTGAACTTACCTCAGGTTCTCATTTCTTTCTGGACATGTCAGTTTTGCAAATCTTATGAGGTAGTCTAGTTCTTTAGAAGGCAAGTATATTGCACCATTCACACCACCTTTGAAATCTTTCTGAACATGCTCTTGAGTGAAGTTCTGCAGCACATACTGGACTTGAAGTATTGTACGCAGCTTCTTCTTCTCTGCTTCTAGCTTCAATAGACTCTCTCTCCGCTGAGCCTTCTTCTGTGCTTTCAGCAGCTATTTTAATGCAAAATTCAACAATTAAACACAATTTAGTATTTAATCCTGTTTAGTAACAAGATTCTAGGACAAAAAGTTCTAGTATTGATTATCCTACAATGAGGAAACCAACTATTCATTTTGGTTAGATAAGAGAAGCTCCTAATTCTTCAGATATCCAGAATCTTTTAATTTAATCCTTTGGAAGAGCTCCCCATTTATCTACTAATTGTCTACACATCTAACTTTCAGTTAAACTAGATACTGGTATCTTCACTTGTGATATGCCTTTGTGATATCTAGACACTGATTATGCCTGCTAGTTGTTTTGTTGCAACAACTTTTAAAGAAACTGATAGAATTGATACCAATGCATTGATCCAGGCCTAGCTGACCTTTAACATTTACCACAGAGTTAGAGAGGCAGAAGTTGTCTCAAGTTTCTCCTTGTAAGACAACTGCTCTTCACTTTTGAATACTCCAGCTTAAAAGATACAGCAGAATCCTACAATTATTTCTGTTGGCAGAAGGCCAAAACATTCATTAAATAAGCAACAACATGAAATTATAGAACACATACAGAATATGCATTCAAGTCTCTCATCGTGCACCAACAGAACTACCCAGCAGAAGCTAACCTAGTAACTGCAGAATTTAAAATGCCTCAATATCTGTCAATCTATGAAAATTTTGTTCCCTACATCACACTGCAAAGGATGCTGTTGCCAGAATGGCCCTTAATGTTCCAGTAATGGCTGTTGGCTGTAGAATCCATATCAGCAGAAGCAGAGCCAAGTTAAAAACAAGGTGGGTTAGCCTTTAAATACAGCATAAGTTCAAGAACAAACATGAACTGGTAGAATGCTGGATTACTTAAAACACCTGCTCAAAGATACACTGGGTTACAAGGTACCAGTCCTTCAGCATTCTGTAGAAATAATGCCAGAGCAGTGACTAATCATGTTTAGCTTCCCTACCACTACCTTGGATCAAATCTTCTATAACTGTAGAATTTGCTTGAGCCAAGAGACCAGTTTCTCCAAAGATAAAACGTTGTTTGCATAAAAATCATGTATGGAGTGCCTAAAATCCTGAACAAAGGCCTAAATAAAGCACTAAATCAGCATCTTGCCACAATTAGAGACAACTACAGCAGATTGAGTAGCAAACTCCACAAGCTTCAGTTAAATTTTGCTGAGGGATGTACTTCTCATTGAAGTCAAAGTGATTTAAAACCAGCACTTTCCGTCACCAGAAGCAGTAAAAAATTCATTTTGGAAGGGATCCTGAGACATTGTCTAGCCCAGCCTCCAGAAAGGCTACAGTGAATCAAGATCAGATTGCTTGGAACTTCATGCATACAAGGGTTGAAGAAATCCAAGGACAGATTTTACCACTTCCCTAGGCAGCCTACTTCTAATGTTTAATCACCCATTGAGTGACCATTTCCTCCTACCCGGTTAGCATCTGTTTCAAGTAATGATCATTGCTTCTCCTACCACATCCCTCAGCAAAAATCCCAGCTCCACCCTTTCAGTATTTCCTGTCTGAAGGATAATAGTGCATCTCCTGGCAAACCTTCACTTCACCAGGTCCAACAAGCCCAGTTGTTCCAGGCTCTCCTCACAGGTCTCATTTTCCAGGCCCCAGCCATCCAGGGGGCCCACCACTGGAGTCACTGAAGCTTCTTTAGCCTTTGGCTACCAAGTGATCAGAAACAGACAACTGGTTAACACGCACCAAATAATCAGTTCTCCTTAATTAACTGCTCCTCAGCCTATGCCTAAGCTTCGCTGCTGCAGAGAAACAAGGCAGGAACTTCCTAGCAAGGGGTGTACTGGAATAGAAGTATAGCCATTAAAGTAGTAGCACAAAGTTTTGCAGTTTCCTCCTGTCAATATAGACAAGAATAGTTATACTTACATCTTGGCTAAGCCCTGAAAAAGTCTTCTGAAGCTCCTTGGCAAATTCCAGGTTGTGCACTACTTCATCATATTTCTCTACTGCCTCCTACAAAGGAATAGATAAAAAATGTATTTTTCATGCCTAAGACTACTGATTGCAACTCTATTGCCTTGTACTTAAATTCTCATTGCAAAGTTGTCATTTAGTGTTTTCTCAAACTGTAGCTTTTTAAAGACACTGTGTCCATGCCTGGCACTCTAATTATCATTCACCTGCAACTGTCTGAGACACAGTTCAAAGCCAGCTCATACCACCACACAGATATCCTACAAGTTTGCCTATATAGGTCTTGGCAATCAGAAGTAAACAGCTACTTAAAATCAGACTGGTCTAAAAGCCTGGAAGGAATACAAGAGAAATTTAGCACATATCTTCTACCCTCATGCTTAACGAAATGCCTTTAAAGAAAATTTGTTCAAACTTTAGAAATATACAAGGCAAGTCATACTTCCAGAAATAAGTCTTTCCAATTTAGTTTCCAAAAGAAGCCATGTTCCTGTCTTCACTAATGACTTTAACCAATATTTTACTGGCTAGCCTTCAAAAATACTAATTGCAGTAGATTATTAATTGCATTTTGATATACCCCACTTTTAATGGGTCAGTTAATTTCTCTAAGTTCCCTTGACAGCTCTGAAGATAGAAAAATGCTGTAGTCCAGACATGCTGCCCATATCTTCACACCACAAGACATGAAGTAACAAGTTTAATTCCAGTTCACTTGTGCTTTACACCCAATGTGGTTTATCTCCTGACATGATATCACAGGTTTTTCTAGAACAGGCTCATCAGTCTAATATAAAGCTCTTTCACAGCAGTGTTAGTGTTTAGTGTTTCATCAGTGCAGTGACAAAAGCTTAATCTACTGTCCCAATAAGATTTAGGGCATCTGCAAATTCCATATGTGTTCCTAAGCAACTGGAAAACAAGTTATATTTCAAGTTCATTTGTTCAGTTCATTTGTTCAGTTTGATTGCTCAGTTACTTTTATTCCTTTGTTTGTGACACACTAGACACTATCTGGACTAAATGCTACTCAACACATAGTGCAAGCTTCTCACATGGTAGTTGAGGTTTGTCTTCACACAATTTACCAAGCAGCTTTGAAGTACTATTTAGCAATTCACTTAGCACTTGAGAGAATAACTTCTAAGAAACCAATGCCCACACATTTGAGGAAGACTCACAATTAACGCCAACAATTTACTAGTCAGGTTACAGTAATTGTGCTTGTAACAACACAAATTGCAGAGTAAAACACTGCACATGAAAACATCAAGAACAGCTACCACAGCTCTCATGACAGGCTGTACCTCAGCCCACAGGAAAGCAATAGCTTTCTTCTGTCACACCTGTTATTAACATTCATTAACAGCATGTTGGAAGAACAGAACTGAGGAAAAGCTGCTCAGCTTGCAAAACAGCACAATAAGCTGCTGGAAGCTCCTCATTTTTTAAACAAATGTTTCCTAATGTAAGGGTAGCACACACGTTAGGTCTGGCAGGCATGCACCATAAGTAATTACAGCTTAATCGAAATTACTTGCAAAAGAAGTTCATCACCAGACATGCACTTCTTCCTTTGTGTGAGAAAATTAAAGCTATAGATGACATCAAGTTATATTAGAGCACCACTGTATTATAAGGCAGTTGGTTTCTTCAGGTGTTAAGATCTTCTAGGCTCTACTCCAGCTTCAATTTTTATATACACCACAAATTTGCATCTGAAAGTTACAAATGCAGTATTTCTGTATCTTAATCACTGAAGCAGGGGACTTTAAAAGATTATTAATTAAATATTGAGTGTATATGTGCTTTACTATGGTCACCTGAGCAATCTGACTACCACTTGTCACTTCACTAAGAAGACAATCTAGTTCTTCATTTTAGTAGCCTAAGAAACTCCACAAACTGGGATGAAGACACTAAAACTCAAAAAGTGAAGCCAGGTAGGAATACTAAAAACCAGTAACCAAGTTAATGTCATTTTCCAAACACTGTCACCTAACAGCTTTTCACATTCCAGGGCATATACCAAAGCAGTCAATACATTCAAGACTATTCCAACTTACAGAACATTGTTCAATAGTCTCACTGTTCGTGGCAGCAAACAGATTGTGAAGAACACCGATGATCTAAACACAAAAGTTTCTTGCCCACCTGATTGAAGATTGAGTTGAGAGGAATCGAAAGGTCATCAACCTACTCCAAACCATCAGATTTAACTAATTTACTTTTGCACTTGATATGGCAAGAGACCACATCAGATTTTGTAGTTAAGTAGTAAGTGACAATTTACTCCAACACGTTTACTCTACTTCTAAGAAGGTACTGTTTTCCCCCTTATCCCACTCATGCCTAACTCCTTTACAAATGATTCACAGTAAGAAAATATAATTTGTGTTCTCAGATAGAATTTGTGTTCTCAGACTGCTGCATTGTGATAAAGTTAGCAATCAGTGACATTTTTCCAGCTGGTTCATTAGCAGGACCAGTACTATCACTGAAGTGTCAGTAGCCCTCATCAGACAATTACTCTTTAGCATGTTCCCACTACATTTTAAAAATGTCACCCCTAGATTAGCAGAGCAATAAAGTCTTTGGATTATGTGACACTGCTACTCAGCTCTGCTAAAGCTTTCATGTTACAGAAATTTGGTTTCAGATCTAAAATCCATTCCAGACCAAGACAAAAAAGAGACAGCACTGTCAGTTATATTAACAGCTACTTGTAACCAACAGCACTGTGCAGACAACAGGCAATTTCAAGTAATAGCTGCTAATGAAGAAATCATGAGGATTAATTAGCCACTTCAGAATTATTGAGGCTTGGGTTCTAACACTGCACTGCCATATAGATCAGCTGTACACAGATACCTCATTAAGAAACAGAGGTGCAGGAGCACTGAAGCTGAAAGTCCACAGAGGAAAGATAAACAGAGATCTTCTATTCTTTCAGGGAACACCATCAAGGTCAAAACAGGCAACAGAGCTTATGGGCTCAACATTCAGCCTGATAACCAATAATTTGTTAATTTAGTTTTGTGAAAAGTACCTTTAGGTACTGCTTCTATAAAAACACCCTCATTTCCTTCAGCAACCCATCCTTCCTGCCAGATCAGAAGGTTTTGAGGCCTTCCACTCCTGTATAAAAAGCAAGCTTACCAATTGGTCTTGATTGAGGGCTTCCCCCTTCTTCAGACGATCTTTGTAATCTTCTAGTTTGAGCTGCAGAAAATTCAAAGTAAACATTATACAGAAACCAATACAAAAATTAAGCAAGGGGCATGAGTGAAATACTGTAACATAGAATAGAAAACCTCCTACTTCCTCTTGTTTCTGGAGAAAGGAACACACAGTTTTGCTATGCCTTTGATTTGGCAATTTCAGTCTGCAAGACTGTCTACTTCCTTTCCCTGTCACTGATCTTTCAGTTCTTACTTGCTACTTTTGTTTCATTTAAGAACTATTAATGCATTGATCCAAGATCTTTAAATGGCTTCAAATACATCCAGTGTCCTTGTTTAAGGCAGGCTTGTTTAGCTTTCCCAAGTCAATGCTGGAATTTAGTTATATTATCCTTGAATAATCCTTGCTGTGTCTTTCAAAAACTTGGCTTTAGTTACATCAAAAATTATAGCCCTGACCCCTAAGAAAGTGGACAAATGTATTCAGGGAAGAAATAAGATTTATTTCCAATATACTAAAGCAGTCTTTAAATGCTGATGTAAATAATACCAAACTAAATTATTTGGTATTGCAAAACTTCTTTATGGAAAAGAAAGGTGACTTCACTGCCATGAAGTCAGATACTCTTCCATTTGTGTATCCAGAGCTTCACTGACACAGTACCTATAGGAGTGTAAGACTAGGAACACTTTCTACTCATTTTAGTAAGTTAGTTTTATTTGCTGATAAGGCCATATTGTCATTCACGTGAAAATCAAAGGTACCAGAGAAATTCACAACAAGAAGCGTCCTTGGACAGAATTAGAATACAACACAAAGTTGTTTAATCACACAAAGGAACATGCTTGTCTGATGTTATTCAAAATTACAGCATGATGCATGACATGAGACAGCAGTAATACTGCATCTCCTGCAGGAGGATCAAGTCCCCAAAGCACATGGCCAGATGTCTGATCTACTCTCTCTCCGTGCCGTAATACATAATTAAAACCTTTTCAGACATTTAGAGCAGCACAACATATTCACACAATTGCTTTACTTGTAATCCTGATCCAGCACTGAAAGCAACAACACCTTTACATCTTTTATCCTACAGAAAACAACATTCTCTCAACTCAAAACCAAGCACACAGTCAGCTGCCAATCAGGTGAAAAACCTTAGAATGCAGAAGTCTGACTAGCCATAGCTACAATGTTTTAGGTGTATAATTATCTCAGTTATTAGTCTTACTAACACTGTTCTGTCCCCCCAGCCTCAGGAAAGCAGAGGGCAAAACAAGAGATCAAGTTTTGGAGGATTTCTGTATAAATTTCCCAGTCAGTAACATGTGCCTGTATTTAAAATATGCAAGTCAAATATTTATGCAAAATAAAGGGCAATTCATATTTAACATAATCTGACATTTCCACCGTCAGAGGAAACACTTGTTCTAACTTCCAATTTTACAAACAATTTACATCTAAATTAATGCATATAATTGATGAACGATTTCTCAAGACTATAATCACGTTTAAATCAGATGCAAGTTTGTTCTGAACTGATTTGGTCACGAGAAGCATCATTAGTTTCGATCAACATAAACATGCTCTCTATATACACACAACACCTTATTCCAGCTGTTAAAAATAACATGAAATATTATTTTAAAGGCAATGAGCTTTACTATCGGCAGCTTAAATAGGTGCCATGGGCAAGAAAACCAAGTTACCTTCTTTTTCTCGATGTTCCTGATCTTGTGTTTGAGGCAGATGAGCCCGTTGTCGATGTAGATCTCATAGGCCTGGGAAGGAGAGGCCGCCGTGCTCAGCGCGGACTGCAGGGGGCTGGCGGGAGCCGGGCTCTCCCCAGCCGGGGTCACCTGCTGCTTGGCCGCCTTCATCCTCTTCTCCTCCCCTTCCTCCGACCGGCCTGAAGGTGATGATGGACGATGGAAAGGGGCTTGGGAAAGTCGCACCATTGAAATGGATGGAGCTGCAAAGAAACTCTTATTTAGCTCTCTCACACCCTGCTCCCCCTTTTCAAGTTACGTCTTTTCTTGTCACATCACACATTCAGAACATTTAGCCTCAAAACTGAGCCTCGGGAAGGACTGATCACAAATTTTCCACACTTCTCCCTCCCTTTCAAAATATCTGTTGCAAGAATTCCAAAGCAAGGCAAACTTTGTATTGTTTGCAGCCTCCCCACCCATCCAGACACCAAAAATCCTTTACATAGGCAGAATTAGACAGCACAGGGGATGATTCCAGAAACTCAGTATAGTGACTATATAAAACTAGGCAGGTTTCCTGCACACATCATCCACAGGAGAAAAACTGCAAGCAAGCAATTGCAAATCACACCGCCAGCCTGGCATCCAGGCTGCAGCCTGAATGAAAATTTAGAAGGGCCATGCTTGAAGGTACAGCCCCCCCTTCTTCTCAATCCCCTTAAAACGGTTTTACCCTTTCATGACCTCTGCAGCAATCCAACCAAGAACTTAAAGTCAACTCAATTAAAATAAAAAAAATCCACACAGACCAAAAAAAAAACCAGAAAAAAAACAAAACAAACAAAAAAAAAAAAAACCAGAAAAAAAAAAAAAAAAAAAAACCAAAAAAAAAAAAAAAAAAAAAAACCACCAAAAACCCCCCGTTTGATACAGTAAACTAAGTCAGCTTAGTTACAACAGCATCATTCTTCGTGAGGAATTGGTCCCTGCCTACACCCATCCAAAAAACGTGCCTGTGCCACGGCAAGACATTGGCTTCCATTGGAGTGGCTATAACCTTGAGCAGAGTTTCTGCAAGAGATGCTCGGCCACCCTTATCTTCAACTACTTACGGACACCTGCTCCTAGAAAGCAATGACACCACAATTCTGCCTGCCCGCCGCGGGGGAGGCCGCACCACACCACCCCAGCGGGCAGCCAGGGCAAAGCCTGCCTTTCCCCGGGACAGCCTCCGCCGCCGGGGGAGCCGGGGCGAGCCCTCCATTGCGTCCTTGCCAGGGATGGGCAGGCAGCTCCTCCTGGGGGGAGGAGGGCACGGCCGCCACGGCTCCCCGAGCGGGGCGGCGGCGGAGGAGCGGGGAAGAGAGGAACAGCGGCTCCTTCCTCCCGGGGATTCACCTCCTCCGCCTCCTGCGGCCGCCGCGCTACGGGGCCCGCGCTCCGCCGGCCCCACACCGCCCGGCTGGCTCCCGCCTCCCCACTCACCTCGGTGCCCACACACGCTCAGGCCCACCCCGCCGCCCGCCCCTCGCCTCATATAGCGGCGGGGCGGGGCGGCTCGGCGCCGGTCACCGCCCGCCTCCCAATGGCCGGCGCCGCCTCACCTGCCCGCCCGCCCTGCGCCGGGCCTGCAGGGCGGGGCCGCGGGGCGGCTCCCCTGAAGGTCGGGGCGTCCGCCCGGCAGCTCTGTGGGATGCTCTGGGCTCCCCAGGGAGCGAGGGGACGATCTGTTGGGTGGGATCTGGTGCTCCTGCTAGGACCCGAGAGACGGCCCTGGCGGGGCACGGAGCGTCCGGGGAGAGTGGCCCTGTCACCGGCATCGTGGGGAAGGGAGGTCAGGTGTGCCACTCCGCCATGTGCCGTCCGTGAGGGCGAGGTTTGGCACAGGGCCCTGGCAAAGCCACGATGCGCTGTCGCATCGCGTGTATCGCAGCAGCCTGGCACCACACTGAGCCCGGGGCAGGAGGGCAGCGCTCCCCGAACAGCCACACAGCAAGGGCTCCATCCTCTCGGTGCAAGGGGATCCGCTCGGCCGTTCACAGCCCACTGTTCAGTCACACCCTGTGGCCGGTGCGGTCATGAGGCAAGAAAAGTGTTGGTCTGTGCCTGTAAACCAGCTGAAGGGCTCTTCTGGGCCCTTAAAAAGGCCTGGAGGAGACCTGCAGGACTGTGGGTCACCTTACATAGCAAAAAAAGTGAATGTCCTCTAATAATCACAAAATCTACTAGACTGGAGTCCAGCCTATGACTGAATTGTACACTAGACCAAGGCACTGAGTGCCACGCTCAGTGATTCTTTGAACACCTTCAGGGACATTGATTCCAGTACCTCCCTGGGCAGCCCATTCCAATGTCTAATCACTCCTTCTGTGAAGAAATTCTTCCTAATGTCCAACCTCAACCTTCCCTGGCACAGTTTAGGACTATCGTCTCATCCTATCCCTTGTTACCGGGGTCAAGAACCCAATTCCCCACCTGGCTACAGCCTCCTTGCAGGTGGTTGTAGAGAGTGATAAGGTCCCCCCTGTTTCTCCTTTTCTCCAGGCTGAACACCCCCAGGTCCCTCAGCCACTCATTGTAGGACAGCCCACCCAACCATGTAAACTGTTGAAAACTAGTAAAAGCACTTGAAGTGAATTGAATATAAAGTAATCACAAACAAACTTCTGTTAACCCCTAACAATCAGTGCTATGGAAGTTATGGAAGGCTGGAAGACTAGGGAAAACAGACCTTCCAAAGATCAGAGGACTAAGGTGGAAATCTTAGTGGAAATTCCACTAAGGTGGAATTCCGTTTTTGTGGCCATTACCACAAAGAATAAATAAACTATATGGCAAATTCATAGCAATCCTGAAAGTTGTGAAAGTAATGAAAATACAGACATTTTGAATGAGAGAAAAGTGAGTTAGTGAGGAAGGATTGCAAAGACAGGTTTTACAGAACACAAGAAGTATTTATGTAGTACAATGGATGGATGAGTGAAAAGGGGAGGAAAGGTTATACATAAGAAATATTGCTTTCTAAAATAAAACAAGCAAATGATACATGATTCAAACAATAAGGATAATTCAGAGTATCACAGAATCAGATTCAGTTGTATGTGACCACCTGTAGCATCCACAATCTTGCCATTTCTCAATGTGTCCAATTCTTTAATCACATGTCCCAAAATTCTACATTTTTTAAAGCCCTGGCTCCTAGAATGAGGTCGCTTTGTGAGGCAGTTTTCATGTCTGGAAAGAAATGCTAATGAGTAAGACACAGCAACACAGCTTGTGTCTAGGATCAGCAGTGTGCTCTGAGAGTCCTTCCAGTAGATTTCTGTGGGGTTTTTGCAAAGTTAACACGGATGGGCTAGATTCTTGAAAAGTAATTATAAAATGAATGATCAGTTAATTCATTTGTTAATAATAAGTCATAATTAATGTTCATACACCTGGGACTGTTCTGTAAGTCATAGTTATTACTGACAAACTGCTTTATAGTGTACTTTTACAATTATTTGTATAGAAGAGTAAAAATCAAAAGGAAAATTCATGCAAGCCAAATCCATATTTAAAATCAAAGGATATTTTAATTTCATTTTTCAAAAACAGAGAGTAGCTAATTGAGACTAATGCTATATACATTTATAATACACCTGTAGTCTCTAGAGCACTGTAAAGAGTGTACTAATGTGGTGAGGTCAAGCCCAGTGAAGTTAGGAAATACCAGGATTAAACACAGCCTACGTTAATTAGTTTAATGCCATTTTGCAGATCCATTGTGAGATCATCTCTAAGATGATCACAGGTTATGATAGTCAAACCATGCATCAGTCATAGCCATGGGGATCTGTGCCTTTTTCTCTAGGATCACAAGGGGAATACACTCTAATGGCTGAAGACAATTCTGTTCTTTTTGTCATGTTTGACTGATTCTGCTTATCCCCTCCTGCTGGGACTGCCCTAATTTTTCCCAGTCCCAGAATTTTATCCTGCTCTCATTTTTCTCAGATTCCAATTTCCACTCCTGAACCCCAGGCTCAGTCTTCCTTCCCAGGTCTTCATGTTGTACAAGTCACAGGCTCCTTTGAGAAGGAGGATCTCCTTTGCACACAATTCCAACCCTTTGCCCAACCACTTCCAGTTTTCCCCACTCTTTATCCAGCCCACTAAACCCCTTCCTAATGCCAGTGGCATTCAACGCCAGCTGTGTCCCTCCAGCTGCAGTGGGCCAGTCCACAGCCAGCTGTGGTGAACACTGAGACCAGGTTCCCATTTTCATTCCCTGCCATCTCTTCTGCTACTGCATTGTGAAACTCCAGGAAGCTGATGTGTAGAATAAGATCAGCTCCTTGTTAACTTCAGGAGAGAAAGAGAGACAGTGAAGATGTTGCAAAGATTATCCACCAATGGACTAGAGAAACCTGCTTCAGTCATGGAAAATATTTCAGACAGGAAAGCTAAGGAATTCTGGATCCAACATGAGATGAATACATTAGGTCTCACAAAGAGGATTGTTAGTGGGAATTACACCCAATTTATTGGAAGGACTTGGAGAGGAAATATGTTGCTACACGGCTGTTTTATGCTGCAAGGAGTTTTTTCCACATATAAATCCTGTGGCTGCCTGTCTGCTGTTCAGAACTCAGAGCCAAGAGGTCAGTGTCCACCACAGCCTTACACAAGCTGCTGCACCTCACAGTGATTTCTAACTTTGGAAATGCTTCTTTAACATATACTTCTCCCGTTACACTCCAGCTCCTTGTCTTCTGTGTTTTCATCACAGGATCCTGATTGCAGTTTCCTTGTATAGAAACTTTTCTCCTTTTTTGCCCCCATGTTCAATCCTGCCCAGCAAACTGGTTCCTGTTCCTGCTCTTTGCATGCAACCAGTGCCAGGCATTTCCATTCCATTTCCTTTCCAATTCCCAGCTGGATTCAGTTGCCTGGCTCATTTCTCACCTCACCAGAATTCTAGATTCTATTGATTCCTTTCCATTCTTCTCATTTTGCTTTTCTTTTTTTTTTTTTTTCACTCACTTTCTGTGTTTTTATCAGAAAATTCTCCCAAAATTTTCAAGGGAAAGAAGAAAAGGAGCAACAAAATCAAACAGAAATAGTTACTGTGCCTGGAAGCAGCCATTACAAGCTTAGCCAAATTTCAGCTACGTAGCTCCAGGCCAAACAGCATGTGTTTAATTAAGGTCCGTGTTAACACCTATAAGATCTGCAAGGGAATGGAGTTATGCTCCCTGGCAGAAGCTGAAATTC